AAATACAAATTAACTAAAAAATTAAAATAAGGGCGTGAAATAAGGTGATGATGTACGGAAGTACCAGATATCATATGCAGTATTCATGCAGAGGAAAGTGTGTGCGCCATAGACAAAATTGACAGGTGAATACGACTCTTAGGATGTTTTCTTCCATTTAGAATCTGCATATCTGTTTGACAATTATTCTTTCAAAAAAAATTTCATACTCATTTTTAATTATACACCATTCAAAAATTTACTATTTAAAAAGTCATTCTCTCTCCAAAAATAATAATAATAATAATAATAATAATAATAATAATAATAATAATAATAATAATAAATAAAAGCGCCATAATACAGGGGCTAAATATTGTGTAAGATTTTCAAACTTTCACAAAAATATTATTACAATTGTTACCACTTCACTTGTTCATTTCACTATGGTCCGACGCTCATTTTAAAATCTCTGTTTTCACCACATTCACTCGTTTATGGAATATTATAATGAGGTTTTCGTATAGTTTCAACAATTCTTCTACTTTTAGAATAAATTTCCCCTCTTTCACATCTCCCGTGAACTGTCTATAGTTGATGAATAAATCGATAAATGAACAATTTATTATTTGTGGTGCAACAATTCTTTCTTTGTGGTTTTGCCGTGCAATTGGTCCATACTCCATAACCATACCATCAGGCCGGTCTTGTGGCTAGACAAATGAAGCCTGCACCTCAGGCCCAAAACCACAGGGGGCCTATTTTGACCCAAAAGTTTTTTATTTTTTTAATATTAAAAGAAGGAAAATGAAAGTAGTTTTTTTCATTAATTGTGAGATAATTGAGATATTTGTTTATTGTTTTACTGTTAAGTTTTAAGTTATCAATATGTTGCATAATACACCATTGAATTTTGCATTTATATTGATTTTGAGGGTCCTACTATTTGGACTTCGCCCCGAGCCCCGACAAACATGGGATCGGCCCTTCAACCACACATAAAACACCTACGCCGATGTTTAAGCCCCATTTTGTAATAGTGTTTTTTCAAAGTATGTGTGGTTAAAAAGTATGATAACATTTTGAATTTATGTGCAAAATATTTTATTGAAAGAATGTGTGGTTGAAAATGAATTTTGTAGAAAAATGAGTTATGAGATAATTGGGCTCAAACAACGGCGAAACAACAGCTAAATCATGCCCTTGTTTGAGTCGGCCTATTTTTTTAAAAATTCATCTTTTTCATAACTCATTTTCAATTATACATTTTCCAACTCATGAAATTTCACAAACGTCAAATTAACCTTTGCAACTTGTATGCATGTAATTCAAGAAGCTATTATCATTTTTTCGGCCTTATACCTATATCAACTACAAAATCTTACCAGCTCAACATCTGTAAGCTCATCTGTTAAAAATTTGTAGAAGTAGAGCAATTGCTAAAGTAAAATTCTACTTCATTTATAAAAACAATATTCATATTTTAAGATGGTATTTTGATACATCTAAAAATTTAAATCAATAGTTTGATAAATCTAAAATTTAAATAAACAGATGAATCTCAAGATTATAATTCTCACATTAAGTTAAGAAAACATGTAAGGCATGTATGGTTCGTATTAAAATCTGATTTTAATTTAATGAGTCTCACAACTTTTCAACGACACATTTCAAAAATTTATATCACAATCTATTAAAAAATCTAATTTTATTCCTCACCAAACATTCTCTGAGAATTTGAATCATTTCTTTTAATAAAGTTGTCCTTGTAAAATTGAATTAGATTCAAATTTTTAATATTATATAATGGACTATGTTTGGTGTACATAATTTTTTTTACATTAAAGTATTCCACTCATATGGGATGGGACTTGCTCGAATATTTTATTCGAGTGGGCCCCACCTTATGTGAGTGTATGAATACCTTAATTTACAAAAAAATTATGTACAAGCAGTATTATCCTTATAAAATTAAGAGAGCATAACTGTAATGCCCATTGATGTACAAACAAATCATTATTTTTTGTGGTTATAATGCAAAACTTCAAATTTGAGTATTTTACACTTTGTACTCCACTTGGATTGTGACTTGTGAGGCCTAATTCGGTTACATTATCCTTGAGTTTTGTTTGTATAGAATGTAAATTTAAAAATACAGTTTAAAAAATTATCAAGTTTGCTAAAAGTCGAGCTATTTTTTCATTCACATATTTTGTGAAACCTAAGAATATTATTCATTATTTATCATTCATTTCTATATATTTATAAACACAATTACTCATAAACACTTGTCAAACATATCCTAAATTGAAAATTTAACATATAAGCATAATCAAACATGATAATCAACTTGCAAAACCGACTAAAGTACGATTAATTATTTTGGCATTGGTAACTAGTCATTTGTCGAGAAGAAAATTGCATAATCTGAATATTCAACCTGTTTAAAATTCAAAGTTTCATTAATTTAAGATCGCGACGCCAAAAAAAAAATAATAATAATAATAAATAAATAATCAAAATCATTGAATTAGCTAGAGTAACTATCTCAATACAAGTTTACGTGGAAAGTTTAATGAAATATTATCAAATTTATTTGTATGTTATTAAAGAAACACATAAAATTAGATATACATAACCGAGTGTTTTACACTCGATTTTTACAAAATGAGATAAAAATCCAATTCCAAGAAACTAGAGCAAATACAAGATTTAAAAGCTCAATAAACTCGTGCGAAGAATCACTTCAAAGTGATATCGGCTTATTTAACTAAAAAGTTGACTCCAAAACGAGTAGTATGTTTACTCGATCTTAATTTTGGATGATAAAAGAATGTGATTTCACCTCACGAATCAAGTGCTAATGGTGGCACTGGCCTGACTTTCTTTTGACAATGAGCTTTATATCATGCTTATTTTCATAGAATAGAGGGCAGGTGATATGTCGACCTATCTCGATTCTAATATTTTATTGCACGACCTATTTCTTGTGAAGTGTATAATTATTAAATCAGCCACCCATATTGATAATATCTTCATTGGGCGTTTCTTGAGTCAAGGAAGTCACTTGCCCGCAACTTGAGAACTGGGTAGAAATCTGAAGTTTCAAATTTGGGCCAATTTTTCCACAACCACAAGTTATCAGCTAACAGGTTAATTAGGCCCAACACTATGTATAAAGAAGCATGGGAAAATTTCATAATACTGATACTAACTTTGGTCCAATTCAAAAATAAGATAACAGGTTTAGATTTTCTGAAATCAGATATCATATAAATCTGTATGTCAAAATCTCTTTCCAAATCAATTTCCTAAAAACTAGGAACGTATCTCCATCAACGCACATATCTCCATCAACACCAGTCTGTATCATAACAGATTCACATCCCTGAAATAAAATGTTTCATCTCCAAGCTGATGACAAAAAAACTGAATTTTGCTTTTTTATTGTTCTCGGAATTCCTTCGATGACATCGATCACATAATCCAGGTCACAGTTGGGGGAAGACGATCGATTAACAACAAATTAGTCAATAGATTCGTCCGAACAGCATCTAATTCAGCAGCCGTCATCGAATTCAGGAGTTTCAATTTTCATCGAGTACGTTATTGTAATTCAATTAATCTCACAATCCGCTTGCGGCTTGATAACCACGGATCGGTCAATTTTAAGATCGCCTGCGTCATTGTAATGAACTGTCACACAATTGAGTCATGATTTAAATTACGTTATTCCATTATAAATTGTGACGCAGATGCAGTGAATTATAACCGTTTATGATCTGTATTCACCAAACGAATATGTGAGCTGCATTTACTTGGTATGTACCGTGAAATAAAAGTTGTCACGCATTTGTTGTGACCCGCAATCAATATATTATAATATGCAGTTCTAATGATGTGGCTTGTGGCCTCTTGTGCTCTGCATTCACAAAATGAATACGTGTCGTACATAGTGTCAGCACCTAACATGAACTGAAAACTGTGACGCATTTCCTTTTACCCACGGTCAGTATATCATAATATGCATCTTGCAGTCCAAAAATGTGACGCATTCATTGCGACGCAATTGCTGTGATATGTGAATTATGACTGTGATCTTAATTGCATTAAAATTGGTGATGCATTTGTTGTCGTCTGCGTATTGCGACTCTTTTTCAATATCTGTGACATGATGCTCCTACATGTTCTCCATTTGCATTTGAAACTTTAACATATTTGCTGTAATAACAGTATTGTGCTTCATTTGAGACTTTGACATATATGTGACATGATGCCGTGACCTGTTCTCGATTTGCAATGAAACTGCAACGAATTTGCTGTTTTCCGCAAATTTTGACTCTGTGTCCTAATCTGTGATATTTATTTGTTGTGACCTAAACCTTGTTTTGTGGTTGATATTATTCTAGTTGGTGTTGCAGAAATGGGATACATACATGTTTGCTTATTGAATGGCTCAGAGTCTTCGTTGGTCTTAATCGATCGTAATTGCGGGTACATGCAACTGGTGGATACAGTTATGGCTGAGATTGGATTGGATCCCACTGAAGTGGCAGTCATAATGAAGTATGTTTTGAATAGTGAACTGCCTCCAATTGTGATCAAGAATGACAATAATGTGTTGTCATACATGGCGTTGAAAGATATGGATCGTGACCCATCCAAATATCCAATCATCATTGAGGTCACGGAAGAAGATAGCCAACAGAACAATGCAATGTTACCATTTGGTGTGCAACCCAGTGGATCGAAATTTTCATTAATGGATATGTCATCAAATATATGCGGGGCAATAATAGAACCGTTGTGTAACAATTATGAGGATGAGGTCATAGTTGTATTGGTCGCCAACGCTAGGGACGTAGAGACGGGAAAGGTTTTTCGTAACAAAGAGATCATGAAGCTTATCCTTTTATGCGATCCAAAACATGTTTGAATATGTGGTTGTTCGGTCAGATAAGAAGGACTATCTTGTCAAGTGTTCACATGACGAGTGTGATTGGATCTGCAGAGCATCTAGGATGGCTAGAACAGAGTTGTCTAAAATTAGGCATATTGTAAAAGGTCACAGATTTACCTCTAACATTGTACTTGGTTCTCATAGGCAAGCAACAAAAGCACTTGTGTCGCACTGCATAAAATACAATTACATATCGTCACGCACTCTATATATCCCAAATGATATACGTAATGACGTGTTGCATACGTATGGAGTATCGTTGAACTATGTGAAAGCGTGGAGGTCTTGGGAGGAAACTTTGAAACTAATTAGGGGTGATCTAGCAGATTCTTTTAATAATATATCAAGATTCTTTGTCATGTTGCAACATACAAATCCTGGAACGGTCACAGATCTGAATCTTGATGGTCACAATAGGTTCAAATATTGCTTCATGGTGCTAGGCACATCAATTCGAGGTTGAGGACATTGTAGGTCGGTTGTTGTGGTTGATGGCACGTACTTAAGTGGACACTATGGTGGGACGTTATTTACGGCATGTACACGGGATGCAAATAATAGCATATACATACTTGCTTTCAGGATTGGGGATAATGAGAATGATGCCTCATGGACATGGCTCTCCGAAAACTTGAGGAAGGCGTATGGCTATAGAAAAGGGTTGTGCTTCGTATCGGATCGCCATAATAGCATCAAAAATGCTATTGAGAAGGTGTATCCAGAAACATGTCATGAAATTTGTTCGTATCATCTCCTTCAAAATCTAAAATCACGTTATGGAAAATTGGGTAAAAATATAACACAAACATTTAATTCAGCTGATCGTGCCTACACGTTGTCAGAATACGAATATAACATGCAACAGCTCGACGCGATTAATGGAAAGATAAGGGATTACCTAGTAATACATTACATATTATCATCAAGTTATATTCTTGTGCATACATTTATTACAGTATTGTGAAATATATCATTAACAGATAATCATGTTTATGTTTGTAGGACAGTGTTGGGCCTGCTAAATGGTCACGATTCCACAGGCCAACGAATCGATATTCTACAATGACATCGAATATAGTAGAGTCGATTAATGCGGTCACAAAATCTTCCAAGAACTATCCCATCATAGCTTTGTTGGAGTCATTGCGACAAACCATACAGTCGTGGTTTTATAGACATCGGGAAACCGCGCAAGCCACTTTTACAACCTTGTCAAGCAAGTATGAGAAGCAAATGAGGGAAATGAGCACTGATATGAGAAACTTGAGGGTAATGACAACATTTGTGCTTGAAATGTTATTTGTGACCTGTAACTTGTTCGTTGTGGCCAACTTCTAAGTGACATTTGTTATATTATTTTTTTGTTGTAGGTTGCGCATATTAATCAGGCAATGTTCTCAACCAGCTGTGAAAATTTAACTTTTGTTGTTGATATAGAATGACGTACATGCACGTGTAGGATGTTTTAAGTTGATCAACTACCGTGTCCACACGCTCTGACTATGATTGCAAGTGTGAAGAGGGATCCATATGAATTTTGTTCATATTATTACACGAGAGAAGCATAAAAGAATAATTATAACGAAACTGTTTTCCCTGTAGGAAATCCAAGTGAATGGATAGTGCCCAAAGACTTCGAGAACATAGTCGTGTTAACACCTAATCAAAAGCGAAGTTGCGAAAAGCCTACTGAGAAGAGGTTTGATCTGCAGTTGAAGATAACATAACTGTCAAATGCGGTCGTTGTGGTGAAAGTGGTCACAATTGCAGAACTTGTAGCAGTTTGGTTCCATTAAGTCAAATTCAATCGAAAAAACAAAGAAAAGATAAGGAAGTCAACTGATGATACATATCACAAAACTTGCAATAGTTTGGTTCCGTTAAGACAATTGGTTTACCTTTTCATTCAGTGTTTGAGCGTAATATCGAACACAATTTGTTAGAGGACACAAATATTCATTTAATAACAACATTTCCAAGTTCAAACCTTATAATAAGGATGTTTTACTATTGTACTTGTAATATTCTTTCCATGTGAATACATTTTTAAATACAGGCAAACATGACAGATGGGGATTGGGTATAGCCTGAAAGAACCTGTGACGTGTGTTGTGACCATTACAGTGTGACCTGTCACCGGAGGGGTTGTTACATTCACTTCATTACAAATGAGTGTGGGGTGTCGCAGGTAAAAATTGGTCTATTAGCTGTTATGTGAACCTGCAATATTGAAATGTGACCTTTGCAACGAACTATGATTGTGTACGAAGAATATTATACTTATTGTGACTTTTTATGTGACCCGTACTGTGACCCGTTGGCAAGAGACTGTGCATAAAGAATTGGAACATGTGATCTCTGTTGTGACCTGTTTCCAGTTGTCTGTGATATGAACAATATACATCAAACCCTGACCTGGTCGATGACCTGTGAAATGAACTATGATGTTGCAATAAGAATAAGAAATAACTGAGACCTACTATACGATATATGACTTTTTTCGTGACATTTTCTGCAACATGTGACCTTTGGTGTGACTTGTTCACAATATGATCTAATTAAATCATGGGATCCTTTGGCATTTGCTGCGAATGTTATCCAGTTAACATAATATGGAACACCTTACACAATATCTCATGCCAAAAAATACATTCAAAACATATTTTCAAGACACGTGAAATCAAAAACTCAAACAATTGCTTAATTAATGTTGCTTAAATCCAATACAAAAGAGTATCCCCAGAACAAATTACCCTTGTTCAAAGCAAACAAAAAAATTATCCATAATCACACTTTACATTCCATTCTACTGCATTTCCAGACTACACCTCGAATGTCACTCAATAACTATACTATCTCCACCGATTGGCAGCAACGTCTTTCTCTCTGTACTGATTTCACGGTACTTGAATAACAATGATGCAACATCCAGCCGTGCTCCAGCCACATCAAATTCATTGGCATTGATCCTAAATCATCATGCAGCATGTACTCGGCATATTTAATCACATATATGCCACAGTTATGCCTGCAAAGTGAAAAAAATTTCAGTCCATTATGTGTAGAATCATATTATAACAGTATGTTTAAATTCTCGGTGACAAAAATTACCCGTTATTCTATTGCGGAACAGAGGAATTAAACACCACTATCAACTCCTTCGAATCGTCAACAGATGGATCCGAATCCTATCTCCAAATTCCAATACGGTCCATGAGATAAGGGATAATTTTGACGAAAGGATCAATTCCGATAAGGACCTTGGTGTTATTGTATGTCTTCCTTGCCGAATTTAATACAAGTAAGGTCTGCTTTTTGATATCGAGCACTACAAGCATCCAATGCGCTTTATTTGTAGGCAGAATGAGCATGAACACAAGATCCACTTCTGCCCAAGGTTTACTCAGTGGAATTCGTGCACCTGTGATGTTGTCAATGAGTCTCTCATCCATGACAATGACCTCTAGATCTTGCTTGACCTTGTGGTACATGTTCTTCAGCTTGGCTTGAAACAACGTGTCGGTCGTGGTGGCGATGACTTTGATGTTTTTGTCACTACTTGCTAACTGACGTATGTAGTAGAAGCACACATCCATATGCTAAAAAAATGGAAAACTATAAGATAGAATTGACATATAAATTGTGCAGGGTGAACTGTGACCAGAAAATATGTTTGAGTGCACTCTATAAATTGACTGTGACCTATTCACCTTTATCTGTGACCAACCTCAAATGGTCTGTGACCATTACATGTAACCTGTTATGCATACAAAAAATGTGACCTGCATTGGGACATACGAACCATGCGTATAACATTGCGAACTTTATAGACGCTGGAATGTAAGAGGGATGTGGGCAGTGACATATAGGTAGTTGGATGTGACCATGACCATGGAATCTATGACATACTCATATGAATTAAGATTTACAAAAAGATACATATCGAACAACTTAGTGACCCATACCTACACAAAAGTTCGTACCACCATCTTTTAAATTGTGCAGGGTGAAATGTAACCAGAAAATATGCTTGAGTGCATTCTATAAATAAACTGTGACCTATTCGCCTTTATCTGTGACCAACCTCAAATGGTCTATGACCATTACATGTGACGTGTTATGCATACAAAAAATGTGCCCTGCATTGGGACATATGAACCATACGTATAGCATTGCAAACTTTATAGACGTTGGAATGTAGGAGGGACGTGGGCAGTGATATATAGGTACTTGGCTATGACCATGACCATGGAATCTATGACCTACTCATATGAATTGAGACTTACAAAAAGATACATACCGAACTACTCAGTGACACATCCCTAGACACAAGTTAGCACCACCATGTTTTATTTCCGACGACGAACTGACCAACAAGAAAAGGTGGACGAATATGATCATCTCGGTCATTAAACTTTTTCCTGCAAAGAAAACTTGATTGACTATTCAAAAACGGACTAATTATAATGATATGCATAAATAATTCATAATTGTTATGTGGCTTATATCCTCTCTGGAACCAACTCTGAAAGTCAGTAATATCGGCATGGTCCGCGAACTGATTGTAGTGTTGGAAGATTACGACATTACTCGAATGCTTGATTTGCTATCCTTCATGAACATACGGAGATTGAAGTGCTTTAGCCGGCCTAGGAGCCCTCTTAACGGGCAATCTAGAACTTGGCGCAGAAACATGAGACTCCTGCATATTAATTTGATATGGATTGTGACTTGCTGAAACATGCAACGTACAGTAGTTTACATATCTGACAGAATTATCTAGGCTTACCACCTTCTCAGCAGATTTCGTGTCCTTCAGAACATCATATATGACAGACTTAACGTACTTTTTCACCTTTTTTCGATTTCGTTAGTTCTATGGGTGTTGGTTGCGTGAAACAAACACCCAGATCGAAGGATGGAGGTCGTAAGCTATATGGAAATTCAACGTCAACGACGGTTTCCATCTTACCCTTGCCTTTAGAATCAACTGTTATTTCTGCATCTCTAACCTGTAATATAAAATGTATAAGTATAGTTAAAGTTCATACAACAAATGAACATATATCATTTTATGAGATCACATGGTATGTTGATTACCTTGTTCAAAGGTTCATAATCTCTGACAATGTTTAACCCAGATTTCTCTCTGAATTTGGTCAGGATTTCTTCCATGGAACTAGAAATCAAGGCAGTGATGGATTCGATCATAAACTACATGTTCGATTTGATGTCGATCAAGTCTGTACGAATTTCACCTTGCATGTGGACAATAGTGTTCAATTTGTTTTGTTAATCATGCTTGAGCGACGATATCTCTATTTAGTGATCATGCTTAAGCGATGATATCTCTGACTTCATAGCATCGATTGCCACACTCATCCGACGATTCTCAGTTTGGAGTTCAATTAATTGTTTGAAAAACCATTTTTGCATTCCGTCAACCACCGGCACCATATGACTACCCATTATCAGTGGCAAGACAATGGTGAAAACTCTATAGTCCAGATGCCTGCGACCCATAATGAACTGGCAGATCAATAACCTAGAAACTTGACCTAGAAATGAACTACGATGTTGCACTAAGAATAATAACTGAATGTGACATAATCTGTGACATGTGACCTGTTCCGCGACCCGTTTCTAATACATGTGACGTGTGCACATGACGACTTATGAAAACAGCAAAGGTGGAATAACCTGTGACCCGTAATGAATTGACAGAAAAAGCGTGAGCTAGAAAATATGACCTGTGACCCACAGCTGACATTATTTAACAACTTACATCGTTTGGCGTCGGCTGATCCTCCCTACTAGGCGAATTTGCATGGAACGTTATTCCCTTCCATCTGGGTGGGGTGTCAACAAAATCGTCATCACCATCGTCAAGAGATACATCGGAGTGACCAAGTCTACCATCCATAATCATAAGCAGTGGCGTAGATACTTTTACACTTGAGTAACTCGACTTCCTAGTTGCCCCGACGGAATGAACTGATCTGTCCACCATATCCCCCTTTCTCTTCTCCCCACGTGAACATTCAGGTTGGACAGGCTTGATATATTGCACTTCATACATGTACGGCATTGCCATTTCCATGTCTGACGGGTCCAAGTCACGTATTTCCATCTGCCAATCCAAGCACAGACACAATGTAATGTCAGCAAACTACAGTGATGTACAAAATAATAAACCTAAGCAATTAGCACATGTGAGATTCATTGACGTATTGTAAATGGTGTTTAGATCATTACTTCGGGATTACAAAAGCAATCAGGTCCTTCAAGCTTAGCAGCTGGTGGGTGATCGTCTGCCGTCCAATTCCTTATTCGGGGATACGTTCTTGAGGTCTTTCTTGCTACATATCCATCGAGGGTAGGGATCGTTTCGTAAATCCATACATGAAACGCTATTAGAAGACTTCGTAGTCTATAATGGGTCGTTATCTTGCTCAAACCCTTCCTCAATGAACTAATTAGTGTCTCAAAGAGTGACTTACCCCATGGGAACGAGTCCATCAGATTAAAATCCTCTACTAGAACAAATATATAGTGTTCAACCACCTTCTTATAGTCTCTTGAATACAGGTACGAAGTAATGAAATACAACGCACCAAGCCTTGAAACATCCTCATCTAGAATATCACCCGCAGAAAGAAATCTTTCCTTTACATCCGCATGTGCCACCACCTTCAAGTTACTAAAGTATCTCCTTTTCAAACGCGAGGGAATCTTCTCCAACTGATTCATATCCACATCACCAAAGTATCTAAGACCAGTCACCAAACAAAACTTCGACACAGAGAATCTTACAAACCTCCTAGCTATATTGAATCACATTTCATTCTCATTGGGCTGCCGAACCTGCCTCAACAGGAAATAATGTATCAACTGCGACTGTACAGCAATTTCATCGCATTCCATGAAGTGTGCAACACATGTGTTCTGCAGTATACATCGTTGGTCTTCATTAAGGTTGGCTTTGAAATTTGACAGCACACCCTTTGCGGGTGTAATCGTGATTTTACCGAGAAACCAACTATTATCTGGTATGATGAATCTCCATGCCTGCGTATTGGTCACAACACAAAATAAGTAACTGGTCACACATTGTTATCAAGGTCACAACATGAATTTTTAAGTTCAGCGGAATTTTTCTTCAGTTAGAGCATGCATCTGAACATTGAAGGAGAATCTTCGCGTATTTGTTCAGCCTTC